CCCTGTGTCCGTGTTGTTCCCAGATGTTGCCGCATCAAGTGGCAGCATGTGTCATGGACAGGTAGACGTGGAAGGACGGCGACAGGTGAACGGCAGCAGTAGTATGTTGTGCATGGTGGCATGTTGGGCTTGTGCAGAGGCGCAGTCCATCTTCGACCACACACAAAAAAGTTTGCTCGTACCTGTGGGGATTTTTTCGAAGTCCTGGGTCAGCCAAGAAGAGCAGCAGCAAGGAGCAAACGCAGTGCAGTATATTCTACAGCTTTACAGTCCGTCCTCCTCAAGTCCTATCGGAGATGATTAGTATCGCACAACGGCTGGATCCGAAATGCCGGCTAGCTCCGCAATCCAAGAGAGGTGGGTGGCTGAGCTAAAACCGGAATGACTGCATGCGTGCTCCTCTCAGCGACGTCGCTGGCTGGCTCTTTGAAGTTCGGATTTCTGGTTCAGCGGANTTGTCTGACCCCAAAAAAATATTCCGAAAGGGTCGTTTGGCTTGATTTCGGCTTCTAGAAACCACGACTCCGATAGGTTGTCGGCGCTGACCAGTCTAATGGTTCGATTTCGGCTTTCATATGCAGTGTGTACGCAGGAGCCACGGGACAAAGTCGGCGTGCCTCTACTTGACCCAGACGTCCACGAAACGGCAGGAGACTCCACGATGGAATTGGGCTACCAGATCTACAGCAGCAGTATCTAGCCCACCCTTACGTGACGGGTGAAATTTTGGATTTTCCATATTTTCAGCCGAAGATCACATTCTACACACGCACAACAGCACAGTTACACAGAGCAGCGGCCGTAGCGCCCGTTCTCCTCTCCTCTGTCTCTCTCTGATTCTTGTCTCTCTATCTCCCTCTCCCTTACGTTTGGTCTGTCTCCGCTCAATGACGCCATCAACATCAGCGGAAGCAGCACACCCCTGTGTAAAGTCTCCCTTCTCGTTACAAGTCTTAAATCTCGCTGCCCATAATGAAAAAGACTACCCGTGAGTCTTGAAAATCCCGCTGTTTACGTGAACCAACGCCCCGGGGGGACTACAGTGTCGATAGCAGTGTCGATAGTTGGGATAATAATCGGAATAACAATGGCGCGATTTCACGGTAAAGTGGTAATTTTCAAGGACCCGTTTGTCCCTCCATAACTTATGACTGAGAGCGAGTAAAAGAAAAAGAAAAACAGCTTCGGAACGCCCGCGGCAAGGCGCAAAAGAGTCGCGAGTCGCCAAAAAAATAAAAAAGATGCTCGCGGCGGGTCTCGAACCCACGAAATTGGCCCTTGAGCAACTTTTCCCCCATATATGTTGCTAATCCTTTTTTTTTTTCGCACCAAACCACCCACACGTGCACAGGAACGCTCTCAAACACTATGCAAATGCCTCTGCCGCACCTATAGCGTACATACATCACAAGAATTGGCCGTTTTCAACAAAAATGTTCCATTTTTGTACAACATTCCCACCAGAAACACGCGATTTTTTTGAAATTTGAAACTCGGTTTATTTCTGTCTATAGTAGGGCCTGGCAAAAAAGAGTTCTGAACCAGGTGATTTAGAACCACCAGTTTGTTTCAAGGATTCCATGTCGCCATCACGCTCCAGCTCCAGCTCTTCCCCCGCAACGCCGGACTTGTACCGGTCGTAAATGTACACCGCAACGATGGCGGCGTGAACACAACGGCCGGTACTTTTCCTCGACGAACTGTCGCTGCACGGGCTGCCGTTGCTCGCCTTCATCAAAGGCCAGCATTAGAAAAACCGAGAGGTCAAAAAAAAATCAGCAGTCATTGAGTCAGGCCTTGAGGTGCGCTGGAGGGAGGGACGAGTGGTCGTGTCTCCAGGACTGAAGGTGTCGGAACCTCCGGATGCGTTTGGATCCATCATTCGGCAAACACGCCCGCATACTTCATGCCCATTCCCACAGTCCGGTCACAATGGGTATATGCTACGTCGCACGCCCTGCAATATTAACGCGATCAGTGCCGTATACTTTTTTGGTGTTGGCGCTCTTGGGCTCATCACCTCAAGCAACTTCTTTTTGTGCAACAGCGTCATCACTCCTGTCGGATCCGCGGTTGACCTAACCACAACGAGGTACCCTGACGCACCTCAACCCTGCTGCCATTACACCACCGCACACTTATCCTGAATCTTCACCCACCTTGCACTGGAATACTTTGCTCCCGCGCTGGTCGTACTTCACGTGCCCCCACTCTCCAATCACGGTGCGGTTGAACTTCTGGCCGTCCCTCACCGCAAAGTACTTCGTGTTCCCGACGCGGACAAGCAACGGCAGGCCTTCTTTCGCCGCCTGGTCAGCGCGTGCGCGCATGGATGCCACGGTGCGTGGGTTGAAAGTTCCCGCCGGAACTTTATCCAACGCGCTCTTAAAATCACCCGCCGAGAGAAGAGCATCTGCTTTGGGCATCGGCATGGATGTTCTCTCTGCCTCGATGACGACCTCTGCGTGAGCGCAGCGAGATGGCAGCGCAGAGGCCGTGTCACCAGTCGCTGCGGAGCTGAGACCCTCGATTCTGAATATGGCGGCGGAAATGTTGGCGTGATGGGGCAGAGTGTGAGAACGTTTTGCGTTCGAGTACTAAAGCGGACGGCATTGCGGAAGCAGTTTTCGTCTTGGCTTTCAACAGGAAGATGTCTCATAGCAATACCATCAACGACGGCGTATGTTTCCGTCTGTGAGCATAAAAACTCTTGGAGCAACGGCAACTAAACTCTTGAGTCTATCTCTCACCGTCTGCAATCGGGCCGTGAGCACAAGAACCGGTCACCAGCCTTGATCACGGCCACGCGGTTTTGGCTGTTCGATGTGCACACCGAGTAAGTCGTGCCCGGTCCAGAGGGTGGTGTGGGAGAAGCAGCTGTCGTTGCGGCCGTGGGAGATGAGGTTGTTGTCGGGAACTCGTACACATCTGTGCTCTCCTGACGATTCTGCGCTAGCCTGGATCGATCCACCACCGAAACTGTCTTGCTCCTCTTCGTGGAAACCCTAATTTAGGCGTGATAGACAGGGGGCACGACGGCCACCGAAACATAGATCAGACAAGACTGTCGATTCGCTAGCCTTGCCATTTGTGCCATTGCACGGCATTAGAGAGAATTAGGGCTGATTGCAAACATTTCGCGGGTGAACTGTGCCAGACTAGCAACTTTCCACTTTGTAGTCGTCCTACCCTTGCTTACCTCGCACAGCCCAAGCCCCTATCACTTGCACGGTACGCCCCATATATTGTTCGGGGCTTCAATCATTGCATGTTTCCGGCTTTTGCTTTCGCAACGCTTGGGTCTCTCGATATCTCTGACTTTATGAAGGGCTAACAACATCTTTATTTTGCTGTCTCGTCCACGTGTTGTATGAAGGACGTGTGGGGAATACTTTTAACAACAATCTCACCTCTCGGCGCACGGGCACCACTCCCTACCCGAATGTAGGCAGCACCAGAATCCTCTCGGCTGTCCAGACGCTTGCATCCATCTTCCCATACACTTCTGGCACACCCAATAGTTGCATCCCCGCGCCTCACCACCCTCGTCCCCACCCTGGCAAGCATGCCTAACGTTGCCCGTGGGTTTATTGATCCTACACCCGTGGCAGGTGCTGGCTTGTTGAGCCAGCTGCCCCTTTCGCCTCCCCCCCGTCGATGTGCTGGCGGATGTGCCGGGGCCGTCAGTCCGTCGCTGATTGTCGCTGTCATGATCAGTGGTTGGAATGAGGTCCACATGTGCTAGTGTTTCCGCGGCTGCTCTCTTCCCCCCCACCCCTCCGCTACTAACTGTGGTCTGAGGTACCGGAAGAAGCTGTGGCATTGCAAGGGCCGGACGCGGCTGAGCCCTCCTCGGGCCAGGGGCGATGCTGGGTGCAGACACATTGGCCGGGGACAGAGGCGGCATCCCCGCACCACACATCGTCGCCCGAGGAAAACCACCCGAGGACCCCGGCGCCCCTCTCATGTCTGCTCCGCCAACGCCCATGAGCGGACCCGGGTGAGAAGCGATGCTCGATGCAGATACATTGGCCGGGGAAATAGGCATCTCCGCACCGCACGTCGTCGCCAGACGCAAAGAAACCGGGGGGCCCTGGGCAAGTCCGATGTCTAATCCGCTATCGCTCATGCCCGCACCCGGGTGAGGGGCGATGCTGGGTGCAGACACATTGGCCGGGGACATAGGCGGCATCCCCGCGCCACACATCGACGCCCGAGGCAAAGAACCCGGGGGCCCCGCCGGTGCACGTCCCATGTCTAACCCGCCAGCGCCCATGTGCACTCCCCCACTACTCGGGTCGAACAGCGTCGCACCAAGACCACCAGCACCAGCGGTTGCAGCCCCGTTCCCCACCCGGTTCATCGGAGCCCCCGAGTTCATCGTACCCCCGCCGCCCCCATCCTCCAAATTAGCTGAAGAGCTGGTCGACAAACAAATTGCCCTCGGTGAAGGCGAGAAAGAACGACTACCCAGTCCACGTGGTCCTCCTGACCGACGATGTATACTGAATGCTCTCTGCTGCTGATCACCCCGACCCTCCTGCTCCGAATGTTGTGCGCACGCCCTCACGTCCATGCCCGTGCCGCCCTTCTTTCCCAATGATACGAGAGACAAGAACGAGGAAGGATGGAAAACATTCAACACTCAGCATGTTCTACCTTGCAAAAGGTGCATCATGCACAGTACATACAGCAACCAAGCTATTTGGCATGTGCCAAACGCGTGCACCTTGATACGTTCGGCGAGTCGTAGTCTGGCAAGATTGCCCGTCATCTTGTCTGTGGATGACTGCCTCCAACGATTATGCCTCCTGTCAGCACCTCTACGAACTGCGGCCCTGCCTCGTGAGTATTCCCTATTTCAAAGATTTTGAGATGAGAAACACTACGCGGGTGGCACATGCTCACTGCATGCACCCGCACCCGCACCCGCGCCCGTCAAATGAGCCGTTTGGTCGTTTGTATGAGCGCTTCTCCCGCAGGAGGAAAATGATACTCTCTAGCCAAGTCCATACCAACGCCCAGGCCTAATCGGGGAACGGCCTCGGCGAATGGGCCGTACATGTATCTGCATGTTCGCGGAAGTAGCCTACTGCTGCTGGCCCACTGCTGCTGGCCGGCTGTGCACCTGCTTCGACTTGTAGCCCTCAAAATCTATTTTCACCCTTCTGAATCGGTCAGTCGGAGTCTAGCGCAAAGGGGCGGGGGTAGCAGGGGTAGCAGAGATGACCCCGAGATAACCCCGAGACTTCAAAGGATGTATGGCCATCGTAGGCAGCAACAATCACCGGCTGCTAGCTGCAGCAGCAGCAGTGGATACCGAAGCGAGGCAGCAGGTTTATCAATTGTCCGAGAACACTTACATCATCGCTTCCGCGGCCTTGCTCGGCTCCTGCTTCTTCCGGGTCGGCTGCCCTCCGCATAGTTGCGAAGTCTCCTCCCAAGTCTTGCGGGCGGTGCGGCTCAGGTCGTCCCACGGCGAGCGTGTATCATGTGTTTGTGTGCAGCTGCAGCACAGCAGTCGGCGGACCCTCTCTGACCGGCCAGTGACCGGCGGAGAGAGAACCACCCTCCAGAACCAGAATACAATCCAAGAATATTCCTATAAGTTTACTTTCTCGACAAAGGGGTGAGGTCTATATACAGTGGGTGGCCCAATATAGTGCCGGTTGAATAGTGCCGGTTGCCGGTATAGTGCCGGTGTTTTCGGCTCGCACACACATTTTGTATTATTTTTTTCTGTTTCTTCGTGGGGTCGTGTATGCCGGGTTTTGAGACCACGGGCTTTTTTTTTTTTTAGAGCTAATGTGAGAAACAACAACAACCGGAATATCAAGTCTTTCTGTACTCTGAATAGTGCCGGTGCCCGGTATAGTGCCGCTTTGCTCTCTGAACACATACCGGCACTATAGAGGGCCCCCTACTGTACTTCGTATATTTTTTTCACAGCGGTGGTGGGGGCACGACAAATCGTAATTTACCGGTTCCGCCGCGTTTTTGGTGAAACGCTATGATCGGCATTACTCGTCACCAAGGTGTCTGTGAAAGCTAAAAGTGGGTTCATTCGAAAGCCCTGGTTCATAGCTTCCGAATGGTGTATATTTTGTTGGGTAAATAACCAGGCCCTAGAGAGAAATTTCAATTTATCAAGTGGCCTGTGGGCGGGTCCAGGAAAACTACCACTCACTTTATGCGTCTTCCTTTTTGAACAGGGTTGATGACATTGGCAGATCTCTTGACCAAATCGCACAAACACACGGGACTGTACAGCACACATGCTCAGAGACCACGTGCACACACACGCACACATCACCGCCGCACAGCCTGAACGGGCGGAGCACTGTATGTAGCGTCTGCTGGCAGCAACACGCTCGGAATAGGACCAACATTGCTATCGACACTTGAGAGAGGGTGTAGTCACAAAAGGGTTAAACTCTTCATCCCACCTGACCGAACATATCAACCGCACCCGTAGCACCGCCCTGCGCCCGACCTGGGCCTGTTCCGGTAAACGTCGTGCCTTTACGGTCGTCCAAAGGAAAAACCCCACGGCCATGCCCCCGCACACAGCAAACAACGGATACTAGTCTAGGCTACCGACGTTCCCTTCGACACGCAGCTGGCGTTGCCAAACGCGTCAATCGAACTGCAGCCTGCATCGCATGAGCATTCGTAGCCAGTGAGGCTGCTCTGTTGTGAGCAATTACCGGCGCCACCCCACAGAGGGTGTCGGCATTCGTACACACACTCGAGGGCGATCATCTCGGTACACGAACCACCAGGTGGTTGCCAACCATACACACACACAGCAGTGGACACAGCACCTTTCTTTGATGCACACCGCGTCATAAATGTCGTTACCACATGAGCTTGCTTGCGTTTGCACATCAACAACTATAGACTAATAGTCTATCTCGAACGGGTAGTCTTTCTGTGTGTGTATTTATTTTTCCAATTCAACATTCACCTAAGACTCAACGCAGCAGTGGAGACTTCCACAGCGGGGCAAAGAGCGGAGAGCGGGATTTCGTCGGCGCAACCGATGTCGGTTCGAGCTTTTTTCTGTTGCCCGAATGGGTAGTCTACATACTTGAGAGTACGTGTTTCACTTGTGCACTTATTTTGAATACATCGAGTGACTTGAGATTCGTGATGTAGTAAATAAATGTGATTTACATGTGTAGTGCACGCTTCTGCCCCTGTTTGCAGAGTCGGGGCTTCGTACTTTTGTACAACACTGGGTTGCTCGTGTATGACAACAGTCGTGGTGTTCGGTGCTGTATCTGTTGTGTATGGTGGCCGCCCGCGTTTCTCTACCAACCAGGCCATATGAACGGCCCCGTGTGTGTTTACGAGTGTCGACACCCTCGGTGGGGTGGCGCCAGCAACTTTCTCACGACAGACCAGCCACACTGGTTACGAATGCTCATGCTGTGCAGGCTTCAGTTCGATTGACTCGTTCGGCAGCCCCAGCTGCGTGTCCAAGCGTTGGTAGCCTGGTAGTACGCGTTGTTAGTTGTCATGTGCGGGGGCGCGACTGTGGGGTTTCTCCTTTGTTTCGGCGGTCGTGAAGCAATGACTTCTACTGGAACAGGTCCGGGTCGGACGCAGGGCGGTGATACGGATGGATGCGGTTGATGTGCTCGGCCAGGTGGATAAATAAAGTGTTACGTGTGGAATAGATTTGGTAGCCCAATCACATGGTGGAGTATCCTGCCTCTGGTGGACGCTGTGATGCTTGCTCGACGGGTTACTTTTTCTACAGTTTGTTTGTTTCCTTACATGTTTGACTATTATCGTCGGTGTTTGTTTGTGGGCCCACAATTCCGTACGGCTTTCCGCGCGTTTTGAACACCTACCGGGTTAACGCCCAGTAGACTTTTCACAAACATTTGAAGTCCATGAAGAAAGTGGAGCCGACCAGGAATGCTGACCTCTAAGCCTCCGAGGTGATAGGTGTTCGGCCATTATGGACTGCAGTATGGGCTGTGTTGCTTGGCAAGCACGATGCATGACTATTGGGCCCTCGGCGGGCCCCCACAATAAAAACACCAACCACCAACTATGAACCTCTGGTTTCGAGCAATCCTCGCGGCTAGTTACCCTTGTGGGGCAACCAATGCATAGGTTATGGTGTGTGGTGTTCGTGTGTTTGGATATAGACTGGTTAGATCTACCGGCAACAACAGAGGGCACGCAGATGGGGCATATGTACACCTTGAAATGGTTGCATGTGCGGGGACCCCTCGAACTCCAAAGAGGGCCTTCACTTCTCCCTACTCCCCTTGCGTGTCTAATGCAAGAGATAAACCGTCTTCCCCTTCCAAGTAAAGGACATATACGAACACACTAGTGTCACTCCCTCGAGGGAGAGTCCATTAGGAATGTCAGGTCGCAAATATGGGGGTGACTCCTCCAGCGACTCTGCGGCGGAAGACAGAAAGAGGTCAAAAGAAGAGCTCGTGGCCCTCAGGACGCAAGGTAGCTCGCTGACGGATCAGATGAGCCAGCTAATGTCGCTAGTGGAAGATACCATGAAGGCAAGCAACAAGGAGGAGCCAACTGGCACCATCGAGGGTGCCGCTGATCGCGGCGATGCTAGGGAGAGCGCCGCCGCGGAGTCCACGAACGCCGAAGGAGGGGCACCGTGGACCGGGAGTGCGCAGGACGGGAGGTACCTGCGCGAACCTGTTCGAGAGTCTGGCCCGTCAGGGCGACACAGCGGCGAAGCAGGGGGCTTTGTTCCCCAAGAGGTGAGAGTAGCCGCTGCTCACAACCAAGATTATAGTATATAGTGCCATGGGAGATGATGGTGCTGCTGTTGGCTTTGGTACGGAGCCACAACCCCAGGGACGGGGTACCAAAGTGTGCGGTACACTTCTCCTCCGTTCAGCGGGAAATCGAAAGATTTCAACGAATGGCTAAATGATTTCCGCATGGCAGCTAATGGCGCAAACCTGTTGGAACAATTTGAAGAGAGCGGGAGCTTGGAGATCCCCGTCAACAGCGGAAAGACCAAGTTTTCGCTGTCACAGCAGTACCGGAGCGAGCAAGTAGAGCTCGCATTCCACGCGTGGAACTTCCTGTCTCACGCGTTGAAAGAAAAAGATCGGAAAATCATGAAGAGGGCAGAGACGCCCCAGGGAGCCCTTCGCGAGCTCAAGACCATACACGACCCTGAATCATCTGTACAGCCGTCAGAGGACCTCAAGTCCCTGACGTCGACCAAGATCTCTAGAGGTGAAAACCCCCAAAACGCCCTAAATGAGATGCTCCAAACCGCAAAGTCCTTAACCGAGAAAGGACTAACTGTCAACGAAACGTTCGTCCTTCACCTCTTCCTGGATGCCCTTTCGGACGAGTATGCCATGACAAAGCACAACCTGCGACACGCGAAGAAGTTGACGCGGACCGGCGTGCTAAAGGAAGTAATAATTGAATACAAGGCGATCAAGGACAAGCCGGAGCAGGGAAAAGGAAAAGGGGCGAAGGGCTCAGAGCAAGCGTACTTCGCCGACGGTGAGGGCCGCAAGGAGCGGTACTCAAGTAGGAGTCAGGGGCAAGGTCGTGGTCGTGGCGGCGGCCGTGGCCGCAGCAGCAGTCGTGGCCGCGGCGGAGGCGGTCGCGGCGGC